GTGCCCTGTTGCCTGTATACACGCTGCCACACACATGGTGGGTAAGAACCAGAACTGAGGACAGGCCAACATTCCCAGTACAAATGGAGCTATCAGATATTTTTTAATATAGAGAGGCAAAGGAGATTCAACGGGAGGGTGCCTGGCTTTCCCAGATGAGGTCCCCAGGCCGGGCAGGCCGGTTGCCTCTGAGCATTTCCCTAATGCTTTCCAAATGTTGCAAGAGATTAAAAAGACCATTCTCAACACCTTTTCCACCCGCTCCAACACCCCAAAGGAAATCAATTAATGGCAAAAAATAAAACAAAACAAAACAAAATTGGTTATGGTTCCTTTATTTACAAGTTTCTGAACACCATCCCTGTATGAAGCATACATTCAAATATTCTTAGCAGTGAGCGAGTTTAACTATGAAACACTGTAAACAGATAGAGCCTTTAAATATTCATCGTCTTTTTCCCCTCTACATTGCATCTTTTAAAATTCACTTTGGTTCCTTCAGGGAAATATATATATAATATAACATTTTTCTTTTAAAATAATTCCACCTCACTCTCAGGCTCTTGGAGGGTCACCGGAAGCTTCCAAGCTCAGTTCCGGAGCCAATGAGGGCAGTGTGGTGCTGGAACCCGGTGTTTCGGGGGACTCAAGGCCCTCCTAGACAAAGCTGGGGACCGGCTGGCCAGGCCCGCTGCACCGCAGCCAGACACTGAGCAAATCCAAGCTTCATTAAGTGTGGTGGAGACTTTGCCAAACTGCCGCACTCCACAGCCATTTCCTGCGGAGATCTCAGGGGCCAGTGGTCTGGCCGCAGCCTCTTGGCTTTTCCGTGTCTCCCACCTCAGGGAACAGTTCACTCTGCGACGAGGCTTTGGGCCTGAGTGGCAGGCTGGAACGAAGACCCTCATTTGGTAGAAAGGAAAACCAGGTGGGCTGTAGGAGGCAGTGGCTAGGAACTCAAGCCTGGATCAGTGTGGTGGGTGGCTAGGAGGAGTAGAAAGACACTAACACCACCTGGAATCATAGATTTCTTCTCCCACAAGGTTTTTGCAGCCCTCTTCTACCTCATAGCCACCTCTAAGTCCAGCCGCCGTTCACATTGGCTTTGGAAAGCAGCCTCATTCTGGGCACCTAGCAATCCTACCCCTTCCTCCTGCCCCTGTCCCCAAGCTGAACTGGGCTTGGAGAGCACACGGCTCTTTGACTCGGGGGTCCTGGAGGTGGGTAGTCTCCCATTAGAGGGAGGATGTGGAGGGGTTAGCCTCCAGGGGACCTGGCAGGGTGCCCAGTCCCGAGTGGAGACCACACCCAGCCCACAGCTCTGCAGGTTCCAAGAGTGAACCACCAGGGGTCCCAAACCTGTCATTCTAGCTGATGCACAGCTCTCAGAATCCAATGATTATTAGAAATCTTAACCACCAAGATCTTAACCAAGAGAGTCCCAGGCCACCTCCTGTGGGGCTATCTCCATGCATCCCTCTCTTGCACACCTTTTTTTCAAAAGTCACCATGTGGCTTGACCTTGTCAAGGGCAAAATCTGCATATTATCTCCTGTGTATGAAGCCCCCCACCCAATTCCAGCCGCTGGAGCCTTAGAGGAGCGGATTCGCTGAGTAGTACTGTAAACGGTCTCTGTTAATTTTTTTTTCCTTCATTCTCCTGTTCTGAAACCAGATTTTGACTTGACGGTCAGTGAGGTTGAGCATGCGGGACAGTTGCAGGCGCTTCTCTTTGTTGATATAGACGCTGAAGAAGAACTCCCGCTCCAGCTCTCTGATCTGGTACTTGGTATAGGGGCAGCGCTTTTTGCGGGTGCGTTGACCACCTGTGGAGGTAGAAAAGCAGGGGGTAAGCCAGGTGTGGGGGCTGCAATCCACCCCAGAGACGACAGCTGAGGAGAATGGCTGCCACAGGGATTGGTGGTCCAGCCCAAGCCTCATCAACGTCTCCCCGAGCCCCAGCTTTTATCGCTCGGACTGCGGGCTTGGAACCGGCCGCAGTTGGAGGCTCAGCCACAGATAAAAGTCAGCTCCCGAGATAGCCCCCCGGGGAAGCTGCTCCCACTGCCCCCAGAACAGAAAGGAGGGCTTCGCATAGCAACAGGCGAGTCTGCGCTGCCTAAGCCTCTTTGAAAGCCGCAGAGTGGGGGCTGCCGGCTGCCTCTCGCCGGCCAGACTAAACAAACAGCCGCCTGCGGACATTTCACCTTCCAGCACCTGGGCTGCCCCTTCTCAAGGCAGTAAAGACGGCTCCAGTCCCAGTCTTCCTCGGCTGCGGCCAAGACTGAGCAGTCGTTAACATCTGGGGCGGCTGCCGGGTCTTTGTCAGCCCAAGTTCTGGCCACCAGCTTCTGCCTCCTCGGCCAGCCTTCTGGCTCCCCTGAGGTGGGAGGTGGCGGCAGAAGCCCCCTACCCTGGGCTTTCGCTGAGCACCACCGCCACACAGCCGCCCTGCACGCGGCAGAGCAGCGGCGCTATTTTAGGTAGGGTGAAGGGAAAGGGGGCTTCCCAAAGCTGCGGGCAGGCTCTACTTGCTCCCCCTTATAAAAAAAAAAGACCCACAAGACCCCCCCCCCCAAATAATAATCGCTTTTGACAGATTGAGTAACAATTGTGAATAACATGAAGTTGGGCAGAAGGAGGCACGTAATTGCCACCACGCCAGAGGAAAATGGCTTCCTTTGGACAAAAAGGCCAACTTTGGGTTAATTTGTTTCTTTTAATATATTGCTGGAGCTAAGCGGGCTACTTTATCTGTTAAATGCGCTCCTAGCGCCGTCGTTAAACAGCGACGCCTTTGAATCCCGGCCGGGACCGGAGTCCTGGCGCAACACATGGCTTTTATAAAAATCACCGGATTACCTCGCTATCAAAGGCTCCCGGAGCCCTAGCAGGGGGAATTTACAGGCGCCCACCTCTGGCTCCCCAGCTCGGAGCTGGCCCCGAGCGGGGTCGAGCTGCCGGGCTTGGGAGCTGAGAAGGGAAAAAAAGGGAAAAGGGGAGTTGTTTTTTTTTTTTTTTTTTTTTTTTTTTTTTTTTTTGCAGGCATGCCTTGGCCGGTGGGTATTTCACGGCCAATTTCAGCACTCGCCACGTGATCCCGCCTTTTATAACAAAGTTTTGTTGGGGGAAACCTAAAGGCCCTTCATAAACCTTATATGCTTATAAAACAGCATATAAAAATTTAACAGCGGTGCTGCGCTGGATTTCCAACTCCCCTTTCATAAAGCGCAGGGCGCTGCCTTTATACGTACTGGAGCCGCCGGCCTTGTCCTCAGTGTGGCCGGAAGACGACTCAGGGCTGCTGCTGCTTTCGGGGCGCCGCCGCCGCTCTTTCTCCTCCGCCGCCGCCGCCGCCGCCGCCTCCCGGCAGCCGCCGCCGCCGCTGTCCGAACTTGAAGTTGCCGGCGCGCCCGTGGCCGCCGCTGCTGCAGCCGCGGAGGTCGCCGTGGCCGCTGGGGGCCCCTTCTCGGCGCTCTTGTCCCCGGGGTAGTCGGAGGAGGCGAGGTTTTCCGGGGTGCCGTAGGCCGTCTCAAAAAACTGGTCGAAAGCCTGTGGCAGGACACCGTTCCTCCCCACGGTGCTATAGAAATTGGACGAGACGGCGGGGGTGGGGTGGTGGTAGACGTTGGCCGAGCTCTTGGCCAGCACGTCGCCAGGCACGCCGGCCGCGCTGGGCGCCTGTAGGCAGTCTCTGTGCACGAGCTCCTCCGCGGAGTAGCAGTGGGCCAGATTGCCGCGGGGGTGCCATTTAGTGGCGGGCTCAATGGCGTACTCTCTGAAGGTCACTTCGCGCACGGGTTGGACCTGGGGCAGGTTGGAGGAGTAGGAGTATGTCATTGGGCGCGAAGACGGGGTCTGGGGCAGAAAAGAAGGGAGGCTGGAGAAATCTGGACCCGAGACGTAGTAAGTACAACTTGGCAAATACATGTTAGAGGAGCAGGGACCACGCTCATCAAAATCCATCATTGGGCTACCTTGGGCTCTCCGCAGTAGCCGAGCTTAACATGATTCTCCACTGCAGCTGCCTCTTTGAAGCGGATCCGTGAAGTAGAAATTTGGAGACGTAAGCTGACGTGGAAATCTATCCCCATCCTTAGCAGGGAGGTGCTGGTCATGTGACCCGATGTTGAAATTGACAAGCTGCGAGCTAGTCCGGGCCTTTTTCCTCCCCCCTTTCCTTTTTTTTTTCTCCCCTCCCCTCCCTCCCGGCTTCCTTTCTTTGTAGCCACCTCAGGGGAAGCAACAGATCGTCACTCGGTGTTCTCACCGAAAGCACGTAATCGCCGGTGTAACTCATGTTGGCTGGGGGGCCTCCCGGCGCGCGGAGAGGCTGGGGTGCGCCCCCATGCAGCATGCTAGTGCTCAATTTTAGGGTCCTGGTTCTCGAGTGTGCGGAGGGCGGTGAGAACTCAACTCTTGTTCTGCCCCCGCCAACCCGCAGCTCCCCGGGTGGGTGAGGGATGCCCTGGGCTGGGGATAGCCAGGTGGGAGCCCGTCGCTGTGTGACCTGTGATCTAGGAGTCTGTTCTCCTGGAGGCTCGCATTTGCACCCCCTTCTTCGCAGCCCCCCTCCCATAGACTTGCTCTGGAAAGCACCTCTGCCTCTGACCCTAGCCGGAACTCCTTCGGGGCCCGGGTTTGAAGCCGTGGATGTGCCTGCCTCGTGGCTTGTCCGATTTGCACGGTGACTTGATTACACGGTCGCATTCATGGTCACTTCCGAAGCGCTTTAGTGACGTCCGTCCCTAAACCGCCGACAGCCAGAACAGCTTCTCCCCGCTGTTTGTCACTGATCCACAGGGCCCGGAAGGGCCTTCGTCTTACCCGGGATCCACTTCTCCCCTTCATCTTCCCTGCCTGCCTCCTCATCCCACCTTCTGTCCTTGGACAAACACCCTTCTTCTCGCTGCCTGCCGCGCTTCCGAGTGACTTGGCAGAGATAGAGGCACAGGGGCTGCTGCCCCGCTGCTCACCGGTCCACCCGTCTGCCTGGTCTTCTGGAGCTGAGGACTCGGGAAACCATGCAATTGAAGCAAGCCTTGGGCTGCTTTAGAGACGCTGACATCCGAGGAGCCTTCTCCTGGGTATGCTGCATCTTCGTGGGGGGCCCACCAGGCTGCTTGTAGAGCTCCAGGGGTGTGGGGAGAATGGGGGTGGAAAGGATGGGCTGAGAGCCAAAGAGAGGTGGCTGAGAAAATGGTAACCTGCCTGCTCTCCTATTTGCCTTCCTTGCAATATGTGAGAGTGAAAGCAAAGGATGTGCAGGGCAAAAACTCAGAGAGCTCTGTGCCTCTCCTACTGCTTATTCCGCAGAAGGAATACAATACCAGAGAAAGGAGAGGTGCTACCCGAACCCTGCACCTGGGGAGACAGGGATGCCTTGAAAAGGCTAGGTTCTGCTAAGGGTAGAGAGAGGCCATAGCACTACTAGGAGTCTAGCTTTCTTGGGAAGAGGAAAAAATAAATTAAGAAGGCAAAATATGCTCCCCATCCTGCAGGATTGAAGGGGCAGTTTGGAGGAAGCGAAAGAAGGGAGAGGACACAGTGCAGCCAGGCAGGGCCAGGAGCTGAGAGGGACCCAGACCTGAGTCCTCCCAACAACTCTCTTCTTGGAAGGAGCTGGGGTGTTACCGAAGAAAAATGAAAAAATGAAAAAGATAACCTTTTCATTTTCCCTCTCCAGGAAATAGCTAAAAGTATTTACATATCTTGGGGAGATTTAGAGTATAAACTCTAAGATCTTTGGCATTTAAGTGTCAACATCGATTTATTTATTTATTGCTGAGCTGACTGTAACTGACTCAATAACAAATCTAATCATGTATTGCACTGGAAAAGAAATATTTTCATTATGTATTTTCCCCAAATAATGGCCTACCATTGCATTTGAATACCTGCTGTAAATATCAATAATATGGAGTAATTACTCTGTAGTCAAGTAAACTAATTTATTAGCATTAATGTTTATGTGGCTCTCCACTCCCCCCACCCTTTACAAGCATTGCTCATCACAAATCAAGCTACTTGGACACATAGGTTTAATGAACTCTTTATTCAAGATTTGCTACAAGAACTTTCATGTCCCTTGAATCCCTGAGAACTAAAATTGAAATTATTTGTGCATCTTCAGCTTGACATATTTGTCCACTGTGGCTTGTCCAGAGGGCAGAAGTGCTGTGAGTGTGAAGGTCCAGTGGGAAGAAAGGTTATTGGAGAAGAGTAGCTTCAGACCTCCTAAAGCTGGGAAGCACATTTACAGAATTGCCCTGCAGTGAAAAAACTCTATTTCCAGCAGTGACCAACAAGGCAAAATATTTGTTTCTCCACAGCATTTCTTTTTTAGAGACAGAATATAAAAGGCAGAAGAGAGGTTTCAAACAGCGGTATTCGAGCTGTGCCCTGGCTTGATTTTGGCTATCCCAAACTCTCTCCCTGTAGCCCACCCAGTCCTCGCCACCCCTACCTTCGAACAAAAGGAATGCATGAGGGGTTTCAGTGACTTTGCCATAACAAAGGCGCCACCACTGCGGGGCTCGCCCCGCCCCTGGGTGAAGGCAAACTAATTCTTGCACTTGTATTAGGGCTTTTAAGACCATAATTGAACCCGGGGGCGTCTAGGAAAACCGAAAACTGTTCTAGACAGACCTGCGGTTTTATAGCAGTTTTGGCAGTCAACTTCAGCTTGTGCCTGAGCAGACGGGGCTGTGGTGGCCCGCCAGCGGGGGACGCCAGGCCACCTCCCCCAGCGGCACGCAGCCCCTCTCTTAATTAGATCGGTTTTCCGCTGGTGCCAGGGACAGCGGTCCCCGCAGAGAGGTCGGTATGGGGATGCGCGCTGTTCCGCATAACCATTGCCTCCTATATCCTCCTCGAGGGCCAAACCGAGAAGGTGCTGGCAAGGCTGGATCCCATGGGTGTCCGCAGGAGACAAAGGCGAATTCCGGAAGAAAGACTAGGGCTGAGAAAGGCGCACCGGGATCGGCTGGCAGGGCAATTCGGCAGTCTGCACCGAAGCGAGGTGCCCGCAGGGACTTGCAGACTGGAAGGGGTGTGCGGGGGCGATGCGGTGAAGACGGATCAGGGAAAAGCCTTTTGATATCAGCAGAAGGGAAAAAGCCTGGAGCGGCGGAATGCTTTTAGTTGAGCAGCAGGGATAGAAGGGTACTCAGGTCCCCAAGGCTGCGCAATGTCCCAGCTTTGCCCGCTCCTGCCCTCGTGTGCGGAATATGCTGGCGGTGTGAATGTGAAGGTTTCGCCAGGCAGGCGGCTGGAGTGAGGGGTGGGCGCAGCTCTGAGGATCAGACCAATTCTGGGGGAAGAAGGGGAGGCAGACCTTCGAGTCCTTGGTTTTGACTTTGCTCTGAGCCTATGATTGACTGCTCCGCTTCGCAGGAGGTCCAAGAGCCAAGCTTAGCCCACCCGGCTCTGGGAAAGACTCGACTGGAGCTAAGGCCGCCCCGGAAGGCCAAGTCCGAGTTCCATTTCTTGAAGAGGCCGGGGCGGGTAAGGCTGTGACATTGGCCCTGGCGACTGGCTTCCCAGGAGCTGTTCTTTCTCAGGAGCTCCACAGCGCGGGCCATCTCCAGAAAACTGTCTTTAGCGTGGATTTCCTTTTATCGTCAACCCAGAGCCCCACCGCGGCTAATGCAAGAGGCCAAAAATGTTTGGAGCAAGAAAAACAAAGGCAGGAAGTGGCGGCGGCCTGACGTTGCGTGTGTGTCTGCAGAGAAGGGAGGGAGCCGGTTCAGTCTCTTCTTGTTTTTCCAAACTTCAAGGTCCAGGCAGCCCTCCGCGGGGCCTGGCCCCATCGCTCCCCGCGCGGCATTTGGAGGTGGCCACCCGGTGAGGAGAAGGCCGACGCCCGCGCCAGACTTGTCAGGCGGAAATGGCTAACAAGGAGATCTGGTCAGCAAAACAGGCAAAGCCCTTCCGAGGCTTCGTCTGTGTTGGCCCCAAAGGTTGGGCAGGGCGGGGGCTTGCACAGCACCTCCGGGATCCTCCTCGCTGAGGACCACCATCCCTGAGGCTTACGCTTCGCTCCACTGCCTTCGCAGGCGGAATATCGGAATAAAGTGTGTCCAGGCGCCTCTGCCACCTCTGCTTCTTCTTGCAGCCGGAGGGGTCCGGGAGGCAGCGGTTAGGCGCAGTCGGAGAGTGCCCAGGCGGCTTTGCCTCGGGGCGGTCGGTGTGCACCCAGCAATGTGAAGCCTTGTCACCGCTGTTGTGCTGGGGGCGTTTCCAGCAGTCATTCAAGGGACTTGAGCTGCAAGGATCGTCACTTGACAGGCAGCTTAACACCCTCTCACTCCAAGAGAGGATAGAGCTGGGTGGTGGGGAGCACCTCCACACTCCAGGCTTCCCAGCTCCAACTGGCAAAGCTACTGGACTACCCTCTTCTCTCCTTGGGGCTGGCTTGGGAGGCAGCAGCTGTTCCTTGTCCCAGAAATCTGAGAATTTGAAGTCCCCAGTGTTTGCACATGCAGCCCTTTGAATGCCCAACATTTGTCCAGTCTCAATGTCAATACCAAGTTGCCCTCAGTCACCACGGTCCTTCCCAGGGGGGGTTCTGTACCCCTGACAGTTCCTAATCCTGCCCTGCCTTCTTCCAGCCAGTCTCACCTGCTGGGACCTCCCACCTCTTCCCTACCTCTTTTGATGTCTCTGCTAGACTGAGCAAGGGCTGAGGTGCCACTGGGGGGCACCCAATACTCAGGCACAGAGAAAGAGGGCTGTTAGGTCCCTGACTCTCCCCCTACTTTGGGCCTCCCTCCACCAGAGCCTGAACTGAGTTTCCCACCTCCCTTCTTTGGAATACTCCACCCCAAGGCCCCAGCAAGTCCGGCTTATCTCCCTCCCTCTACTCTCCCTTCTCTACCCTCCTTCCTTCCCCAACACTTCCTCCTTTTCTGTGGACCCAGCTCCTACTTTTCTAGGCTGAGCAACCCAGATGGGATAGGCCTGGGAAGGGTCAGGACCCACTTGACAGACCGAATCTCACTCCTCGATGGCTACAGTTAAGTTTCTCTTTTTGTGGATTGTTTAGGGCACCATTAATATTTTGCTTCCTCCTGCTTGCCTGAGCCCTTACTTTCCTCTGTCCACAAATGTCACACTGTTTCTAGAAAGCTACACAGAAGAGTGTTTCAACCCTGCTGACCATATTGCACACAGGTGCAAGAACTGGCCCGGAAGCCCTGGTTAGAAATGGCAACGGAGCTCTTCTCCTCCATTTCAGGAATATCTCTTTTCAAATCGAAGGGTTCCTGGTGGCACATCTCTCTTCCATGGTGAGCTGGGGAGGTGAGTTGTCTGGGAAGGCCCAGTATTTATTCTCAGGGCATGGCTTATTGCCAGATCATTGTCAATCCATCACATTTTCCAGGAGCTGCCCAGAGGCAGCACTGAAGCTTCGATTAAAAATCAGATCACCTCTATCACTACCAGGTAGAGGCAGGGGTTAATTTGTCTCTTTGTCGAGACACCCCACCCTCCCCCAAGCTCCCTTTCACTTCCCTAAAGCTCACAAACAGGTAATGCCCTGAAATTGACCTCATAATTCTTCTTGGTCTGATTGGCAAGTTCAGTCATCCTCCAAAGACCCCAAATATCTGAAAAGGTCCATACCCTTCTCCTGGCCACTACAGAGTGGGGCACAGGGCTCAGCTGAGGGTCTCAAGTACCCAAGCAATCTGGTTATCATTTACTTTAGTGAATCTCAAACTGAAGGAAGAAGAGAAGATTACTTCCTTTAATAACTATTTTTATTTTTTGTTAGACTTTTTTTTTTTTTTTCCTACAGAGTGGAAACAAATGGAGTAGGGGAGACTTTGAAGGGTGAAGGCCTAGTTCTCGTTGTCTCCCTTCCGTTCCCCCTGCAACTTCGGCCAAAACGGGTTTCCCCAGCAGAGTGTGTCTGCGATAAAGAAGACAAAAGGGGGTGACCCATCACGAAGATTGGCTCTGGTCCTAGGGTCTGGGTCCCCACAGCTGTAGCTCACAGGAAGCCCCCAAGCCACCAAGCTCCAACTGCTTCCTATTTCCACTCAGTGCCTGTGGTGGCTCAATTCCAGGCTTGAGAAGAGCCACCACCCCATCCAGCCCTCTTCCCCTACTCATCCTGCCAGGCAGTTCTGCGATGGGACCCATTCACAGACAACTGTTTCTGCTATATATGCCCCCATAGCCCAGCCCTTCCATGCAACCCTAGAGGTACAACACAGATTTTGGCTTCCATGAAAAGAAACCCTTTGCAGGTTCTCTTTGGTTCACCTGGAGAGAGAGGCTCAGCGGCCGATCAGGCTTAAGCTGTTTACCGCACCGCCTGATGCTCTAACCTGCTGCAGGTAGGCTATGCGCAGGAGGTTAGGGGCTCTCTCCCTTGCAAGAGCCCAGTGAGGGATTCTTGGGGACTGGGGGTCAGGGGCTTTTACCTTACAAGGGTGTGCCTCACATCTCAGTGCAGATTTTAGGCGGGAGAAGAGCATCAAGGGTCTCACCAAAGGCCTGCCACGCACTGAGGGAGGGCCTGGACTCAGGGACCTCAGGAGAGGCTTTCTAGCAGGGTCTTGGCTCCATTATCATCTTCCCCGCCAGGCCAGCCCTGCTGGGCCCCATGTTCCTACCAGGACCCAGAACTCCGATCCAGCCACGTCCTCTCCCCTGGGCTTGCAGGCATTCCCTCTCGCCCTCGCTAGGCCTTAGCGGGCTCCGAAGTCTGCCGGACTGGGGCAAACCCCGCTCTTCTGGAACGGGGACACAGCCTGGGCCACCCGTGGCTGCGGGGACTCCTTTCCAACACGTCTGGGGATGGGAGAGTTGCAATTCAAGAAAGAACCTCTGCCTCCAGGGCACGAGCCCAGGCTACCAAAACCCGCTCGCCGCTGGAATGACGGCCCAGCCAACTGTGCGTCCTGTGCCTTCTTGAGGCCGCAGCGGCGACCGGCCCTGACCGTGGAAGCGGCCCGGCCGTGGCGCGGAGGACTTGACCTTTAAGGCGTGAGAGGAGGGCGCTCGTTGAGCCTCGGGGAGGGGGACGCTGCTCTCTCTCCCCCCCCCCCACTCTTCCACCCAATAGCAGCCCGCTCGACCCACGCCTGCTGCGCGCTCACCCTCTTTCCCCCTCCATTTTGTGCAGTGTCCGCAGACCTGCGGCGGGAAACAAAGCCCCCAGCCTGCTCTCACCACCCTTCTTGCGAGCTGCTGTCGCCTATTCCCCAGGCCAGAGGCTGAGCTTACACCAGGCTCCTTAAGGCCCTTTTCAGAGCCCTCTTCTCTCGCCTAACCTCAGCCGCCCTCAGCCAGCGCCTGGGTACTACTCAGGGTGCCAACCGGGACCTACCGGGTACTACTCAGGGTGCCAACGTCCCGTACACCGGGTCCCGACCTCGGGCTGCGGGCGGCGCCGGGGCCTACACCCCAGCGGAGCTGAGCGTGACAGAGGCGCGGGGCACAGCGGGGCCCGGAGCTGCCTCCTTCCCGGGTGGACTCTGCGGCCACTGCTGGGTGCACAGCGTGGCCCCGCGTGCCCGGCTTGCTCTCCGCACCCTCGGGTCGCTCCCACCCCTCGGTTCCGGGCTCAGAAAGCGGAAGTCTTTGGTAGAGAAAAACATGGTTTCTTTTCAGGTCTTCTCAAAACCCCTTTTAGAGAAAATGCTCCTGTCAAGTTTTATTTCCCGTTGCAAACCACCTTCTACACTGCCAAGAATTCAGACCGGGAGAGATTACCCGATTATCCTCCTTGGAGGGCGGGGCAGGGAGGGGAAGGGGGCACCCGCACCATACATTCCCTGGAATCGGCTCGTCCTGATCCAGTCGCGCCCCGGGAGCCCCGCGAAGGCCAATGCGGCCTTCGTCAGTCTTCAGCTGCGGGGCCACTCACCCGCACAGTCCGGGTCCTCGCTGTTCCGCGCCGGGACCTCCGCCCGCAGTCCTGCCGCAGCCCGGACCAGCCCGCGTGCCGTCCAAGGGAGGCCGGCTCTCCACTGGCCTAAGCCTCCATTTTGAGTAGGGGGTTCTTGTAGAAGCGTGGAGGGTTTGGGGCCGCGCCTGTGTTCCCGAGGAGTGCGACATCGGGTGGCTCTCGGAGTTCACACCCCAGTACCTGGGGGAGTCCCTATGTCTCCGCACAACCTCCCGCAGAGGTTTGGAAATCTCTGAGACCCGTTGTAATTATTTGTGCCCTGTGGATCCGGCTCTTCAGTGCCATGAGAGCCGGGCAGAAATGAAATCAACTGTGGCAAGGCCTTGGCTGCTTTTACGGAGGAATTTTTCTGCGCCAATGTCTTTTTTTTTCTTCCCTTTAAAATAAAATTAAAAATAGCAAGCACCTCTCAGGCATTCATCAGAAATACGTAGATGTGCGAGGATTGAGTGGGCATTTTCATAAAGAATGAGGCCAGCTGTTATTTACCCGGCGGCCTAGCAGATGAAAACTTAATTAGCGTGCCTGTCCTAAAACCTAGGCATAAATCTTCCTCTGCCTTTTGGATAACACTACATCTTTGCTTATGAGAAATGGGATGTGAGCAACTCGCTGCACATTTCTCTGATTCTCCAGGTCCTGGTCGGCTGACACGCATTCGATCAAGTTTAAAGGAATGCGCATAAATCAGCAAGCCCCTAGCGTCTCCTCCCGAGAGGTCCGCAAATCCAGGAGGGCGCCTCTGAACCCACTGGGTCTGGGGATTAGCAGTCTGGGGCAACCTCTGTCTCTGCTCCTGAACTCGGGAATTCGCAGAAGATGCTAGACACCGCATCTTCTCCAAGCCCTCCAAACACATGCAGCAGAGTGCAATATGCACTCACATCTATTACAAAGTGAAATCTGTGTCAACTCTCCACACACAGATTTCGGATGTTTCATCTGCAGCTGAATTTCACTGCCTAATGAATTTTTAAGAAAATATTTCAACTAGGTTTTAATTTTTTTCTTTCCTTTTCTGTTAATTTTTTTTTAAATCCACAATTTGAATAGGTGGCTTCAGCTCTGCATCAGTCACAATTAGTAGTAAAATGCACAGTGACATTTAACAATCATCCATTTAAAATAACTAACTAAGACAGTACTGAGAGCAGATAGAAAAAAGTA